ACACCCTTGGGCTTGCCCGTCGACCCCGATGTGTACAACAGGAAGGATCTGTCCTCCCCCTCCCCCCCCCTTGGATCCTGTAGTCGCCCCACCGCCCGCCCACGTGGCTGGAGGCGGAGGACAGATCCTTCCTGTTGTACACATCGGGGTCGACGGGCAAGCCCAAGGGTGTCGTACACAGCGTCGGGGGCTACATGGTGGGCGTGGGTGAGAGCTGCCGCTACATGTACGACATGCGCCCTGGCGACGTCGTTTTCACGACGGCCGACTGGTACGAGACCCTAAGAAGCTAAAAATACATACACACACGCGCGCGCGCGCGTGCAGTCTGCGGTGTTGCTGTTACTGTTGGTTGAGGGAGACTTTCTTCTTCTGCAGAATTTTCCCTGCGTGCTTCGCTGCTGTGTTTGTGCCACGTGTTGTGCTGTGCTCTCCTTCTTCCTCGTCTAAGCAATGTATTATAACAGTATTATATTCCTGTCTCAACCCAAGTGAAATGCCTTCCCGGAAGGGTCTTTACGAGACACATATCCGTCTGGTAAGGAACGGTTTCCGTAGGTGTTGAAGGTATTGAAGTGTCTCTTACTGCATGTCCGTACATGGCAGTACAGTCATGACGACATGCTCTTCCCTGCCGCTCGCCTCTCTCCCCTCTTTGCTGGCAGCGGCTGGATTACGGGCCATTCGTACCTGGCGTACGGCCCGCTGCTGTGCGGCTGTACGGCAGTAATCATGGGTGGTATCCCCACCCACCCTGATGGCGGCCGCTGCTGGCGTATGGTGGAGCGTTACAAGGTGCGTGTGTTGGTGTGCGGTTGACTGTGTGTATGTATGTATGTATGTATGTATGTATGTATGTATGTATGTATGTATGTATGTATGTATGTGTGTTTCTTCTCTCCCGTTCCCCCTCCAATCCACGCTGTGCTGCTGCTGCGTGTATTTCCACCTGCTGCTGCTGTTCCTTTCCTCCGAGTACAGGTTCGCCAGTTCTACACGGCCCCAACGCTGCTCAGGTCGCTGCTGCAGCTGGGGGACGCCTGGCCGCGACAGAGCGACCTGAGCAGCCTCCGCATCCTGGCCTCTGCGGGGGAGCCTATGAATGAGCACGCCTGGCACTGGTTCCATGAGGTACGTATCTGTCTGTCTGTCTGTCCGTCTGTCTGTGTCCTAGATGTATGTAGCTACGTATGTGAGGTGATAGCGGTGGCGAGGTGTGGCAGGGGGAACATGAAAAGGCGAGGGGTGATGGTGTTCGGGCTGCAGAAGATTTTGGGGTTTCGGCAATATTTCAACGCCCTCCCCCTCGCCCTCACCCTCCCACGGTTCTCCTGCTAGCATTGCAATTTCACTGAATTTAATTCCTTTTGAAATTTGAATTCCCCCAATCTACTGTCTAAGAGTCTTTTATTTCCCCCCAATCTTCAATCCTTATTTTTCCATGTTGTTGCAGATGGTCGGGGGTTCTCGGTGTCCCGTAGTCGACACTTGGTGGCAAACGGAGACGGGAAACGGCATGCTCCTTCCGCTGCCGGCGCCGTGGTTCCAGGCCAAGGCCGGCTCGGCGGGCGTGCCGTTCTTCGGCGTGATGCCCGTACTTCTAGATCCCGCAACCGGCACGGAACTCCCCAGTGAGTGGTCACTGATTCGGGTGGTGTGGTGGATGAGGTGGCGCGCTGGCTGGGGGGCCGGGCCCGGGGGCGCCCCGGGGAGGAAGTGGTGTGGCATGGGTTTTTTTAATGTGATGGCCGCGATGGGGCTGTAGTGGCTTTCTTAGGGTTTTGTTGTTCCCGGGGTTTTAGGGTTTTGGGGTTTTAGGGTGAAGGGGAGGGGGAGGGGAATGGGGTAGGAGAGTGGCAGGGGGAAAAGGGCGGGACCGGACCTGGTCGGGGACTCTACTAGGGGGCAGGTAAGTTGCGAACTTGGGATCCGTCTCCGTCACCCGGATGGGTGACCCAGTGGCCACGACTCGATGTAGACCTCCTGGAGCTTTTGCCCCCTTTGGGGGGGGGAGGGGAGCTGTGGTTGCGCGCGGTGGTATGGCGTGACTGTTTAGTAATATAAGATATGTTCGTTTGGTGGTTGGTCGCTTGCGCGTAGGCAACGCCCCTGCCGAGGGCGTGCTGGTGTTGCGCGGCGTGTGGCCCGGCATGGCTCGTACTCTGTACGGCGACCACGAACGCTGGGAGCAGGTCTACTTTGCGCCGTACAAGGTGAGTGTAGGTCGTCCCAGCTTACAGAAAGAAGAGAGGATAGAAGGACTGAACCGCGAAGTATACTTCTATCTTGATAAGCTCAATCGTAAGAAGTGTCCTACATTCAGAGCCTCTAACAAGCTTGGGCTGAAAGCAAAGTCATCGCATCCATTACTGGGGTTGGATGTTACGTAATCTGGCCGTCAACCTCCGACCTGCCCCCATCCCACACAGTATTATTCAACGGCTGAACGGCCGATATATTATGGCATATGCTTCGCTTGATGTTTCTTTTGTGGGATCTGCATGCACAGGTCCTGGTGTCCATGTTAGGACTGAGTGAACAATAGGGGGGAATTCACGGGTGAGTGGTGAACAGTAGGGGGCTTCCCTGGGTTGATCAGCAGCTAGCTATAGATATCTCCCCACCAGTGGTGCTTACGCAACAGGCAGGCCCCAGCCAGGTGGCGTGTCACACATCCATTAGTTTCAGTTACGGTGTCCACGAGGGGTCCGTCAAAGGCGGGGGCCCCATAAACCGTTTATGATGGTTTTATTGTTACAGTGCCGATTAGAGCGCTAAGCGTCTTGAGTACTAAGTGCCTAGTCTAGTGAGAATTACTTGGTCGATCACTAGATGGTGCACTTACGACGGGAAAAGAAATATAATTGTGAATGTCTCCGAGCCTACCAGGGATCGAACCTGGAATCTCCGGTTCCGTAGACCGGCGCTTTATCCATTAAGCCATAGGCCCTCATCGTCGTACTTGTACGATTGATGCAAAGGTAAAATATATATATACTTGGCCTAGTACAACTACTTCGACCGCTACTTTTCGTAATGTTATTAATCTGGTGAGAACCATGTTTCACAGCACTACGGATAAGTTTTTGTATTTAATATTTTCAATTTGTTAAACCATACGCGACGTTACGATTTGTACAGAGGGAAGTTCGCTAGAGGCCGATGCCTGACAGGTAATTAGTTCGTTAGTTCGTTAGGAAAAGGCTGCTGCGATTTCCCTTCGGATGTCCTAAAGATATGACTCCATAAGACTCTCCTCCATGATGAAAATTAGTCGCGCACACAACAAATGGGAACACGCTCCGTACTGATTAGTAATGATTTCTAACAACGTAACCAACCCCTTACCATCGTCATAACTCGTAACATAACCCAACCCACACAACCGCCGCACACAGGGCTACTACTTCGCCGGGGACGGAGCCCGGCGCGACGAGGACGGTCACTACTGGATCACCGGCCGTGTGGATGACGTCATCAATGTGTCCGGTCACCGTATCGGAACAGCCGAGGTGGAGAGTGCGTTGACGGAGCATGCGGACTGCGCAGAGGCTGCCGTCATTGGGTGGGTGTCTGGGGGCGGAACGGGGGGGGGAGGGAACGTGTGCGGCGAGTAAACCATGGACACCATGGACACGGACACCAGCACGGCGCATCAGCAATTGCGCATCAGCATGACGAGAATTGGAAGGAGGGGACCTCTGAAGGAAAGCGATGGACGTGTCGGGACCTAGGCCCAGGCATCTGCCAGCGTGGTGGCTGCTAAGCTTTTGCTTTGCTTGTATCACTAACCTTCTCTCTAAAGTCCACAACATTGCATCGCCACACATTCCAAAACTTTCGGCCGCACTCTTCGCTGACCAAGTTTCCTAACTCCATGCTCTCTTCCCTTCCCATCTCCCTCTTTCCCCTTCCCTCCTCCCCTATCCTACAACCGCTTACAACCATCACCACCACCACCATCATCATCGCCACCAATAACATTTCAGTGTTGACCACGCTCTTAAGGGTCAAGCTATCTACGCCTTCGTAACTCTGCGCGGAGTGGACCACCAAAACAACGCCATGCGCAAGACGCTCATGGACCACGTGCGCAAGTGAGGAGGGCCTAGGAGGGTGAGGGGGAAAGGCGGCGAGGTGGAAATAAAGTCAAAATCGGGGAATCGATCACACCGACGTGTTGTACATACGCTACGAGACATACATGGTTGAGAGCCAGACAGCCAGACAGACAGATAGACAGACAGATAGACAGACAGGCAAACAGGTAGGCAAATGTGCGGGGAAGTTTTGCAGCACCACCTCCGCAGGATCAAGGCACGTTGGCGCTGCAAGTGGAAGAATAGGATGTGTGTTGGGACGTCGGGATGCTTTTGGAGGTACACGTATGTCTATGTATATGCGTGCGCGCGTGTGTGCGCGTGCGTGCGTTTGTGCGTGTGCATGTGTGTGCGGGTGTGTGAGAGGGGGGATAGGGGGGGAAGCCGTACCAAAGCATGCTCCGTGACTGTCCCTACCCACCCACTGTCCCCCTCTTTCTCTTTCCCTCTCCTCCTTCCCGTTCAGGAGCATTGGTCCGTTTGCGGTGCCCGACACCATTCACTGGGCCCCGGCGCTGCCCAAGACCCGCAGCGGCAAGATCATGCGCCGCGTGCTGCGCAAGATCGCATCAGGTGTGTCGAATAACCGTGTGCATGTGGAGGATGTACAAAGTGCGGGAGCAGGCGAGTCGGTGTGGTGTCAGGGGGCTGCCTTCCTTAGCGAACGTGGAATTCATTTCGTGCTAGCTCAATATTATATTTATTAAGCTTACCAAATAGCGGCCGTCACTTCCACCTGCGGATTCTGCGTCACTGTGGAAGCCGGGGGAGCATTTGTTGCTATTGCTGCCTGTCCCCTCGTGCCTTCGCGCGGTCGGACTCTGGTAACCCGAACGGGGTTGTCCACTTTTCAAGCGACTGGTCCAGACGTGCGGTGCGGGCCGTGGGTCACAGGCCCTCCTGAAGCCTGATGATGCTGGTGCTGATGCGGATGCGGATGCTGATGCAGCGCAATTCTTTCAGCCTCGAAAACAGTGGTAAAACACGCCATCCCGCCTCTCGCTCCACACCGCACAACTTATCCGTTACAGGTCAGGAGAAGGAGCTGGGGGATGTGTCCACCCTGGCCGAGCCCGGTGTCGTGGAGATGCTTATCGGGCTGCGTGGCAAGTGAGGTCTCAGCAGCAGCAGCAGCAGCAGCAGCAGCAGCAGCAGCAGCAGCAGCAGGGGAGTAGGAGGATGGGGAGGATGAAGCGGTCAATGTGGGGGCCCTGACCTGTTCGACTCGACAAATGAGATAGGAGGGGGCCTCAATATAACACATATGCACCGCGTTTGACAGCTTTTAACTAGACCGACGTCTTGTTTTACTGGTGTGTGTTACTGTATGTCTGTGGGTTGAATCAGAATATGAACTAGACCTGCATGATGACGAGATGGTGATGACGAGATGGTGATGACGAGATGGTGATGACGAAGTGGTGATGACGAGATGGTGATGACGAGATGGTGATGCCCCGCAGGGGCCTCGGGCCTCGGGCGGACGGATGTTACTATTCTGTATTTTTCGATGTACTGCAGTGTATGACACGGCTGTGTACGACGCAAGGTAGTTGTGGGACGCTTGGGAGTGAAATGAAGAATAAAGAAATGTATGTGGAGGGGATTGTGGCTTGCGACAGAGTTGGGTAGGAAGGTCTGTTCGTGGTGTGTGATGTGTAGTAGCGCGGGGGTGTTGCACCACCGTAACGGGAAAATTGCAAATATTGGGGTGGGGGTTCGGCAGCGGTGCTGCTGGTATGGGATTGGCGTGGGGCCGGAATGAGCTTGGGAAGAACAGTGCAAGAAAGTGTCGTATCAGCGTGTATGCAGACACCGGTTGTGGCAGTGCTGCTGCTGCTGCTATTGCTGCTGCCGCTGCTGAGACGCGTGTATGGCGATGCAGTTTTGTTGTATCAACAGGCTTGGGCTGTGAAGCGGTTGGTTAGCTTAGCTGGTAGCTGGCATCGAAAATGTTTCGATATGTGTTCGTCTGGAAGATCTCTTTATGTATGTGCAGAAGATCATCATCGTCTTATAACAGCAACGGGAAGCCAATCATATCGACGGCCCATGTGCCGCTGCTGGGCCAGAATTGGTTTGTCCCGTGGGCGCCTTATGTCGTACATTGTCGTTCTTTGAGGTACGGGAGCTCCTTTGATGGCGCCAAGTGTCAGCCAGGCTGGGATCGTGTTATAGGAGGAGAGAGGAGCGGGCAGAGCTCGTGGATTCCTCGGTCAGCCTTCCGACGCCCGGTGTTATATATCGGAGGGAAGAAATGGTTGCTAAGAGCGTGGGCGAGCGATGGGGACTTTTACGACTAGAGCTATCGACGGCGAGAAGGCTGCTATGGGAGAGGTGCACAGGGCCACAAAGCCGTCTTCCTTCCCCTCGTCAGATCATCGTAACGGTCAATAGTCTGGGCGCGAATATTAATAACAGGGTTGCATTCCAAGCACCCTGAGACGCTTCAGAAACTCAAGTGGTTGTTTGGATGGTTAAATGGCTGCCGTTGAAGTGATGTATATTGATTGTCGAAGTGGGTATACGGTCCTGACCACGGTTACTGTTTTATGGTTGTGCACCGAGTCGCTTCCTCCTCAACATAGTAACAAGTAAGCGAGAATTAGGAAACAATTTTGTGCTCGAAGGTCGGCTGGTGGTAACACTGTGACCCCGTTGACGTACGCACGACTGTACGGCTGTGCGGCGCAACCCCCCCCCAAAAATATGAAATCTGTCATCGCAGTAATGTGTAAACTACGGACGAGCCGGGTGTACAACCCGTACTTGTATGATCCTTACTTGGCCATGAATGCACCGATGGTTCCATTTCCGACAAGACTTCAAAAAGCAGTTTACTGATATTACTGGATATGGCCCCGACCAAACACTAAATCTTGAATGATTACCGCGCGGCCTCATATGCGGTTAGCAGCGATGTCGCCAAGCAGCGCACTCGTGCATCCAACCCTAAGGGCGCCCAGGGATGGGAAGCTAGATGGCGTGTAGCTTGGACCCCCCCGGTTTGCAATCCCATTGGACCCCCCCCGTAGCTACTTTCAGGCTGGACGGGGTCTCCGTGAACTCGAGCCCACCACCACCACCTGGCTTGTGTACGCATGTGCATGTACGCGCTGCACTTGCCCCGTACTTCCCGTTCTTGTTGCGACCAGCAGCAGGGGGCACTCCAGGGCACTCCTACACACCCCGGAGTCCTATACAGCCAAGCACAGCCAAGGTTTATAGTGACCTCGTTAGCTGCGGCAATTAGCTCGGGTGTCACAGCATTCACTGCAGAGCCGGTAAGGATTCAGCTGCGAGTGCCGTACGTTGCCGTACTTATCAGGCCACATCAGGGGCTCATCGGAGCTGTGGCCACAACAAGCCCATCAGCTGCCATCCATCCGCCCTGTTTGGGGTTCGGGGTTGAGACAGGAAGGTAGTTTGGGTATAGCGCCACGTGTGTAGTTGGCGGTCGAGGAGCTGTTCGGATTTATTGCTGGGCAGGGTTGTGTTGGGTATGGGCGCCCAAAAGCGCGCGTGCCGCGCTTGCCGGAGCTGACCGTCGCACGGACACGTTCGGCCTCAGCAAGACCAGACAGGGAGTTAGGAAAGCAAGGCGTTTTCTTCCTGTCTGCATCCAGGCCTCTGCTGACTCGTTCTCGTGGGCTCCAAGATCCAGAGACTGCGTTGCAGCCATGCGGAATAAATGTTTCTTTGGTTACGTAATGCTAGTGTCCCAAAATTGCGATGATGTATTCACCCAGAATGCCAAGCTCTATAACTAGATGTGGGACGCACGCCAAGGCTCCGATGTATTCCGTATGACTTGTTACAATGACCACGTCATTAAAGAGTTATGTGCTATCCATTCATACAAAACGTGGGCTTAAGCCGCGCCCTTTGTGTTGGGCATGACGAATACGAAGCGGTCATTAAAATTTGTAACCGAAGACATGAATGTCCCCATTACAAATTACCATCACCTGAGTAATCACAATACTTAAGGAGCAGGAGACGATGACACGGCGCTTTCCAATTTCCGAGGCGGTCATTCTTTCAGTTAAAGGGGGGTACGGTAGGGTTGAAACCTATCCATGGAAATAATAGCCTAATGTACGAAGCACTCGCTTTGGACCTTTTTACATGTTTTTTCTATACCTAGGCTATAACGGTTACTAATCCTGCTTAAAATTATATGATGGTATTGAGCTCCTGACAATTATTTTGACGTGGAAACTGTGTTATTGTCTCCCGGTGTGCATACTTGAGATAAAATGTAGAATGTAATAGCTTTTGCCTATGCTTGGTAGCTTCTCAGCGATCCAAACATTAGCCCGGCCGCTTCCGTGAGTTGCTGGGCCTGGGCCAAATGACAGCCACGAGAAACCAGCAATGATTAAATTAGCTGTTTGGTCTCTAGTTGCAACATTTATTTGGATCGGTGCAGCTGGGACAGATTTTGCGGAGCTGAGGAGTGGCCGCGTCGACCTTCGGTGAGTCACAAGCGCGTTCCTTTTACCCAGTAAAAATTAACTTTTCCATTAAGATGAAAATATTTGGTAGAGATTATGGAAACGTTGTGTTGAAAATTTGGGGTAGGCCGCTGGTGGTGGGCGCATCTAAAGGTAGCCCTTAATGAAATATATGAGCCTTTTCATTTGAGTTATGAAATCAAATCTATTGGTCCATATATTGCCATTCAGCTGCCATCGCCTTGCCCCGGACGACCTAGCTAGTGAGTGCAATCGTGGTGAATGGTACACGGGCACTTAAGCCAATAAGGACATGGGCTCACTAAATAGAGCTTCCATTAAATTCCGGTGAATACCAAGATGGGGTGGGATATGTACGGACGTGAACCCTTAGTTACCCAAGGGGGCTGTCAGAGCCTACATCGGTTTGCGTTAAGGGAATGGTTTCTTCTGTCTCCAGATGCAGGGACAGCTAGCATCTGTCAACTGTTGTGCACGTGTGCACCTTGCTGGCTCGTGTTGCTCCTCTCCTCCTGCCGCCGATTGCCCGCTGTTTACTACCTGGCCGCTTACGAATTGTGCGACGCATGAATCTAGACATGCTACCCACGCACCCACAACTACCCCAACCAACTGTGCATGCACGAATGCGTGCGTTGCTGCCGGGCACCTCGCTAGCACAGCCCCCTCGACACACATGTCCACCAAACATGGCAATGCATGAATCCTGCTCGGGGAGTATTGTCCTGGCTGTGAGTCGCGGCCACGTATCCTCGCGGGCTGGTGCGTGTGTTAGCCGTGGCTAACTGCGAGCCAGCAGGACCGCTGTCGTATGTATCATAGCTAATAGTAGTTAGCTAGTACGAATGGCTGCATGGTAAGCAAAGCATGCATGTATCGCCTAAGCTGCAGTGAATACGGGCCGCACACGTGGCTTAGAAGAGTCTCCTCGCTTTCCGATGGCCATGCGCAGGCCTGCAACAGTCTATGGCGAATTCTACGATAGCAGCAGCAGCAGCAGCAAAAGTGCGAGCAGTGGCGACATCAGTGATTATAGCTACGTATACATTAGCAGCAGTAGTAGTGGCGACGACTACTACAGTGGCGGTGGCAGCAGCGGCAGTAGCAGCAGCGGCAGTGGCAGTAGCAGCAGCAGCAGCAGCGGCAGTAGCAGCAGCAGCAGCGGAAGCAGCAGTAGCAGTGACTGGAGCGCCAAAAGCAGTAGCAGCGGCGGCTATAGTTACAGCAACAGAATCTTCAGCAGCAAGACCCTTGGCAGCAGCAGCAGCAGCAGCAGTAGCAGTAGCTCCAGCAGCTCCGAATCCTCTTCTGGCGGAGGGGAAATAAACCCTAATGCAGTCGCTGCTCTCATCCCGGCAGCAACCACCTCACCATCATCCGCTTCCGATGCAGACGGAACGCTCCAGGGCCCACAGTTGTTCCTCCTGAAATATCCCGGTGGGTGGGTGGGAAGCTAAAAACTAGCTGGCCGATACGTGAATGAACCCCCTCACCTTTTCTCCTGTACACCGAATGCCTGCCACTATCATTACATCCCATACGCACTTGCTGTGCACCACTGCCTGTGGCCAAGCAAAAACCATATCTGCAGGCAGGTGATGTTGAGAGAGACGACCCTATCTACCCCGCACCTATCCCGATTTCCGATTTCATCGACTACCGCCACCTACGCAAGTTTGCACTCGCACGATGGGTGTTGGCGCGGCATGCTGCATGCACTGTGCCCAGCCGTTATCATATCCAGCAGCCCACATCCACACCCACATCCACAGCAGTCACTCGTCCTTTATTTGCTGCTGCAGGTGCCGCCGCTGTGGGCGCTGCTATTCTGTCTGAACTGGAGTCTGATGACGGCCGGGTGGTGTCGTACATCCCGGATTCCATTCTCCTGGTGTTTGCCACCCTCAGTCAGGTGGTGAAGGTGGCTAGTCGGCACGGGGCACTAATGGTGCGTGTGTGTGGCCATGCATATAATATGTATGTATGTATGTATGTATTTGTATACCCACGTGTTACATGGAAGCCTCACTTAGACCAAACGCATACGCATAGACGGACAGGTAGATGGAGGGATGAGATAATGCAGAAGAAAAGCAAGGCTGAAGCTCCAACTGCATGCCCTCGAAAGAGAGCCGGGCTACGCAGTGACGTGCTATTGTAATGCCACGGCTATCCCCTGCAATCATGATGTGATGGTGGCTGTTTATATTCACAGTCGTGTCGGCCTAGGGAAATAATGCCCTCGGATAATGAGGGGCCCAGGCGCCTACGTGTGCGTATGTATGTATGTATGTATGTATGTATGTAGCCTGTGATATGATAGGTAATGGCGTAGTAAGGGTAATTTCGAGCCAAGTTAGGCAACTCCCCACATTGGGGATGGATGCAGATGTGGGAGCAGGAGTGTGCTAGATATGGCACACCCCAACAGGTACCCATTCACATAGCCCACATGTGTCGCTGCACAGGCGCCGTACGAGTACGATAGCAAGCTATCTCCGGAGACCCTCCAAGTGGTCCAAGCTGCCAGCCCTGCCCGCCGCCGTAGCCGCCGCCGTCGACAACTGCTGCTAACGAAAACCAGCAACGTCAACAGCAACGGCGGCTTCCCCGCCAAAAATGACAAATCAAGGTTACATGTAAAAAGCACCCGCCATCCAAATCGTCATAAATACCGACACCAACATCGCGGCAAGTCCCGCCGCGACCCCCAAGTCCCCCCAAGAGGTTCCAGTTCCAGTGGGCCCGATCCGTTGGACTACCAACAGGGTTTCGACGACGGGCCGACCGCCGTGGCGAATGCGGCTGCCGTGTCGGATGGCGAGAGTGCGCTCCGAAACCTCAAGACATGGAGCTGGCGGCCCACCGGAGGACACCATGGCCGCACCCGCAACCACAATCCTTCCTCAGGGAACACAGCTGCCATGATTAGCTCTCGGGGTACTGCAGCTGATGCGAATGAGGGCAAGGATGCGGAGGGGGCTGCTGCCGGAGACAGTTCCCGTAGCGGCACAAGCACGGGACTGCGCCGGTGGTTTGCAGAAGAGGCTGTCGTGATTGTCAGCATGGGTGGAAGCGAGCCAGAAGGGGAGGGCGGCAATGACGACAGCGTTCCTACGGACACCGCCGCCGCTGCAGTAGCGGCAGTTCACCCGCGGCGTACAACGTCGCTGCTACAGCCTCCGACGGGTCCTAGCGACACAGCCGCTTCCACTTCCGCGGCCGCTGGCGATGCTTCCATAAAATCGGACGGCGACGATCCAGAGTTGTCAATCACTGCAGGGAAGGAGCGACGACTGGCGGACAAAGCTACGGGAGATACAGATGCGGATGAAGGTACTGATCTTTATGGGATTGAGGTTCATTTGGTGCCAGGACTGCCGTACGAGATCCACGAGGGCGCGCTTCGTCAATGGCCTGACGCGCTGGCCCAGGTGCTCGGTTTCGCTTCCAATTCTTCCGAGCCCTGCCGGCCTAAGGCTGATGGTGATGCGCTCAACGGCACACATGCCGTGTGGCTTCTCATCTTCTTGTGTGCCGAGGTGGGCGCCTGAGTGCTGCTGGGTAGCTACTTGGGAAGCTAAAGCGGGAAGGGAATCGGGAATCGGGGGCAGGATGGGGAATCTTTGTTTGAAGGTGGGCGGGGCCGCAATAATTAATGTGTCACACGAAGCGGGAGATTGAGGGCGCCAATTTTTGCCATTTTGTGTTTGTTTAGGCGTCTCTCCCTGGGAATTATTTATTTCTTAGCAAGGTTGTGCACAGAGGTCCATCTCAAAAACAGTCTATTGTCGTGAGAGCGCGACGGTGCCGAGGCTACGTCGCGCCCTCAGTATGTATTGCAACTGACCTTGCAACAGGCACGACGCACTCTCGGCAAAAGCGCGGTTGGCGTTGGCATGGGGCTGGCTAAGTACCTGCGGTTCTGCCAGTGGTGCCGAATAAAAGGTAATAATCCCCATGTCCCTTTTCTATTCCCCCGATGCCATGTATCCTGAACAGGACATGCAAGACGGCGTCGAGTGGCTCTCCAGGCTGCCCATCGTCACGTGGCTAGCCCCGGCGCTGCACATGACCGTACACAATGACGGGGGGGGATGGACAATACAGACAGGTTAGTTGCGCTGCGCCACCTACCACCGTTCAACTGCTACATCAGCCTGTGGTGGTGGTGGTGGTGGCCAACACACAGAAAATTGCGTTGTTAGCGCTTTGGGGCGGAGCTCCATGAGCTCCCTTGGGCGGCTCTCACCACATGTATAATACACATATGCATGTGCATGTGCATATATATATATATGACTATATATGACTATATATATATATACTATATATATACTATAGTCTATAGACTATAGTATATATATAGTATATATATATATATATATGACAGTAGTGCGAGCCGACCAATTCCCGTACATCAACCACATCACCACATGATTCACGTCACATGCATTCTCGTCACACTCACCACGTTGCGCCGCACCCGCAGGGAACCTGACCGGGGAGCGTTTCAATGACCCCACTGCCTTGCTGCGGCCCTTCTGGGCGGCTGGAATTCGCGGTGAAGGCATGCTTGTCGGGGTAGGTGCACCTGGCTGCGAGTATGAGTATGCATATGCATATGGATATGCATATGCCGCAATGTGGCGGAAAGGGCATTGCATGCAATTGCACGCCTGGCTCGAGCATGTGTAAAACTACAGTGGTACCCGAGTGTGGGTGGACGAGGAACCCTTTTTCCTTTCCACCCTTGTCGCCGTATGTACCGGATGCATTTCAACCGGATGTCGGAGCGGCCAACACCCACCGACTGCGAGCTACGAAACCACGCAACCCACGCAAGTTACAATCTAACCATCCTAACCTCCGCTTCGAAAATGAAACCTTGGCACCTTTGGGAAGGGCTCACCTTTGGTCACTTTGCCGCTAAAGCGAATCACGACAAGAACTCTTTGGTTGTCCCCCAAGGGAAAACTCTTGGGGATGATTTCCCCTTGGTCATCAATTCACCGTCAGAGGCGATTTTGATATGAATTCACCGTCACATATGTGTGTATGTGCTGTGTACGACACGTACTGCAGATGGGGGACACTGGGGTGGACTTAACGCACTGCTCCTTTCTGGACGAGCGGTACGACATCGGCACACTGAAAGGCTTGCTGACCGGGACGCCCCTCAGCTGGACCCTTGATCACCGGAAAATCCTGCAGTACATCGCAACCAGTGAGCGTTTTGAGTCACAAGGGTTTGTTAACCGAATAACTTTTAAACATGACGTACATTCTGTTCCGAACATATACATGGCTTAGCACGCCATGCTTGATGAACTGATGAGCCAACAACGCTGTATACACACCTAAGGTGGGCTCTAGAGTCCGCTCCAACGTATCTATCGCACTCTGCGGCGCTGGTCGAACTCCCCCATAATGATTTAGTGCTCCGTATGCCTCAAACAACCTCACGCACCCCCAACCATGTAACACACACACACGTGTGCCTCATACATACAAGGGTTCTTTCATGACGGTCCTTGTCTACCTGGACGCAGCGCACACCAGATAGCCGTGCATGTCCGCATGTCTTCCGGACGTACATATCTTCCCCGTGTGTGTATGTGTGTGTATGTGTGTGTATGTGTGTGTATGTGTGTGTATGTGTGTGTATGTGTGTGTATGTGTGTGTATGTGTGTATGTGTGTATGTGTGTATGTGTGTATGTGTGTATGTGTGTATGTGTGTATGTGTGTATGTGTGTATGTGTGTATGTGTGTATGTGTGTATGTGTGTATGTGTGTATGTGTGTATGTGTGTATGTGTGTATGTGTGTATGTGTGTATGTGTGTATGTGTGTATGTGTGTATGTGTGTATGTGTATGTGTGTATGTGTATGTGTGTATGTGTGTATGTGTGTATGTGTGTATGTGTGTATGTGTGTGTGTATGTGTGTATGTGTGTATGTGTGTATGTGTGTATGTGTGTGTATGTGTGTGTATGTGTGTATGTGTGTATGTGTGTATGTGTGTATGTGTGTATGTGTGTATGTGTGTATGTGTGTATGTGTGTGTATGTGTGTGTATGTGTGTGTATGTGTGTATGTGTGTATGTGTGTATGTGTGTATGTATGTATGTGTGTATGTGTGTGTATGTGTGTATGTGTGTATGTATGTATGTGTGTATGTGTGTGTATGTGTGTGTTTTACACCTTACCCTCCGAAGCTGTAACGGCCAGCCTAGGGATTTCCGAAATGGAATAAAACGCGTGGATTGAAAAACGGGATTAAGAAATTGTCATCCTATCACTCATCACGAGGAAAGGAAAGGAAAGGAAAGAAATGTCGCATTGACAGACAGACGCATTTCACCAGTAGCGGTGCTGACCGCTGAGGTGGTTCTTTGGGTACACGATATGTTGCGATTTCCGCAGACACAAGTGATGACTTTGGGGACAATGCGGGAGGCCATGGTTCGCACGTCGCCGGCAGCATTGCGGGATCCTTCCTCGCGGGAGGCAGCAACTCGACTTTCGATAGCAAAGCGCCGGCCACCGGCTCTGCGCCGCTGGCGCGCCTCAGCATCATAGACCTCGCCCCGCAGGACACGGCCGTCCTGAACGTCCCCGTCCCCATCGACACCAACTACCTTCCGGTGTGTGGTTGAGAGGGCGGGTACTTTATATGTGCATGGCCTGGATGCTGGATTTCATACGGGAATGTGAGGGCCTCGTTGGATAACAAAGGGAAAGTCCGTCGGTAAAACCGCGTCCCCACTGAGTTGCGCTGTCCTGTTGCACGTGCGTATGTATGTCTGTGCATGCGTCTCCTGCAGCTGCACTACCGGGTCGGCGTCAAGATTTCGTCCGACAGCTGGGGCGCGGTCGGGGCAGATGCCGTGGTGTACGACAGCGCTGCCCAAGGCTTCGACGCGTTCGCGTGGAGGAACCCCGACTTCATCAGCCTGGTGGCTGCGGGCAACAGTGGTGCGTGGATTCGTGGGTTCGTGGATTCCTGAGAGAAGATTGATTTTGATTTACCCTTTGAATTAAAAGAGGGTCTGCCACCACGGAGTCATGCACGGAGTCATGCACAGCCGGTGTGTGTTGCGGATACGTAGCTGTTTTACCACCGCAAAGCCGCAGCATGCCGCTACTTTGCTACGAGCGACTCCATCACCCGACCGGAGCGAGGGCACTTTACCTTTTCGACACTGCTGTCCCGTCTTGCTGTTGTGGACGAGCATAGGGCAGCGGACCGTTAGTTTTACTACACTAACAACCTAACTGTTTAGGCAAAAAGCCCTGATGCATCACGGACTATGATGGCGTGATGGAAAGCCCCTCCTCGGTCCGACAGTCCTAAGGAATTGCGTTGTTTGCTCCTTCCGTCGTGTGCGTTACGAATATGCAGGAGGGAAAGCGCGAAACAGGATGCACACACAGGGCCCTCATTCGCGCACAACACTCTTGTTTTTCTTTTTGAAATAATAAAAACATCACCCTACAATCCCCCAGGGTACAGCGGGCGCATGGCGACAGTCTGCACACCCGCAACGGCGAAGGTACGGCGAAGATTTGCTGATGGCAGTCTATCTGCTGTACATATACTGACATACGCGCCTTTAAGGATGGGACGTCGACGACAAGCAATGTCGTACAAAATCTTTAGCCACATCACACACAGACGGGGCGTTGGTTTTGCTCCGTCCACAACAGGTGGCTCATTACAACTAATTACTGTACAGAGGGCTCATCTCATTGATTGTTCAGATGTTCTGTTCGTATGCTGCTGATCCTTTCCCGCTACTCCGTGATCTTTTCCATCCTCATAAGCTGCTTCCCAACCGATAACCAGAACGTCATCGCTGTGGGCGCAACCGTCAACCACCCCAAAGACGTCGCAAGCATGGGGGACCAGTACGCCTTCATGTTCCAATACCGTGACGCCAACGGCAGCATCCAATCGCAAGCGGTACGGCACGTGCACTTACGTACGGCAGCATACATAAGCAGCTTTCTAGCCCCCATGCAGCGAGCATGTTGAGGCACTAAGATGCGCAACCTAACGGAAAGCTGTTCGCACAGTGCCCCCGGGTGTACAGAGTGACACAAAAACCGCGCCTTCCTTTCCTGCTTCCCTTGCTTTTTATCGCGCCTTCCTTTCCTGCTTCCCTTGCCGTCGGAGAAAAGTTTATCAAAAACACGTTCTCTCATGTCCGTTGGGCCATCCGGCACTGCCGGCCTGTGCTGCAGCCCCATTCAGTACCCTGACCGGCCTAGCTTGAAGAGGAAATGTTTCAATTGTTGCATTTGAATTTGAATTACCTGATGTATGCACCCGAGCTTGCGCACCAAGTGCCCTACGTCATGACGTGCCACCGTACGGCACCACTGATGCCGTACACATTTTGGGTGACAGGTTTCTCCACGCGCCGGGTCTGGCGTCCAGGCGTGGTACAAACTGCTCAATGGCAAGGTAGTCCTGTACGGGTAGGGATGCCGTACACGGTGGTGTATGGTTCTGTGTGTTCATCGCGCCTCACTATCAGCTTCTTGCTTCTTTGCACTTGGTCTTGTGGTCCTCATGCAAATTGCATCTCTGTGTGTGTGCCTACCTGTTACATGGTTGGGGGTGCATGAACCCATACCTGTAGAACTACCCATACGAGCTGGTATCCTTGTTGCCTGTTGGAAAATTCCACTTCACTTGTTGTATCACAAATTTGTTTAATGGAGTCCGAGGAGAGGGCGGGTGAAGGCCATTTCGAAATAGTAAATGAGAGGAAGCCGGCGTGCCTACCTTTCCCCATGCCCGTCGAAGCATGTGTTGCTAAGTATTTTGGCTAACTTCAATAATAGCTGTTACCAGCCGTTTTATTAAGTCCAACAAAGAGTTCATCTACAAATTGCCAAAAACAGATAAAATGAAAAAGCTAATTATTAAAATACCCTTTGCCTCTATAATTTTTGCGGCTGTTAACTAACTTCACTCTTGGGTTGGTTCTTGCGGTGTGCCACGGCTTGCAGGCTCTGCCTGTTGTTTTGGCCGAGCCGAGGGGTGCCTGCAATCTGTCCAGTGGGAATAATATCAGCCAGTTCGTCTTGATGGTGGACCTCGGGGACTCGGATTGCTCGTACGGGCTGCGTGCAACCAACGTAAAACTGTCAGGCGCAGCTGCGGTCGTCTTCATCCGGCCGGACGGTAAATTCGCAACGGAGGACCTGGCCGGCTTCGTTGCGCCGCGACTGATGAACTACACCATCATCACGAAGGTGCGTCGACGCGCGTGTGCATGTATACTGCTTAAAAAATATTTTGCCAACTTTTTTGAAAAAGAAGGGTGTAAAACAGACGGAGGAAGGTCGCGAAATTTTGTATCAGCTCCATCCCGAAGAGTTTTCTTGCATCACGATTTTATTGCAGACCCGCATGCCGTATCATGGTACGACACTTAGCATCAGGACGTCTCGTACACCTCCCTTGTGCATTTGTTTGTGTCCCTTAATATTAACGACCGTGTTTGACCGTACCACACGAAGCCTTTCTGTAACTGTTGTGTCATTCCGTTACCGTTATTCCGTTACTGCTTTGTCGTTAGCTTGGTACTTCCCTCCTTACACCATCTCAACAGTCACGAACCGTGTTTCTCAACAAGTCCCGCTCTAACAGCCCCAAAACACAATTTCCATTTTAGCAGTTGCAAAGCATTCCTACATTGCTACTGCATTTCCACGCTACAGCAAGCGTCTCTGCTCCAAAGCTTGCGGGAAGCAAAACAAACATGCAGGTGATGAAAAAATCACGTCATCGTGCTGCGTCCTACACGTGCTTCTGCGCTGCCGTACCTGCCGTACCTGTCGTACCTGTAGGCGCAAGGGCAGTGGATCATAGACATCATGACCAACAGCTCCAACTCCCAGTTCAACCTGGCTTTCCTGTACTACGTGAGTGCGTGCAGCTTTTCATGTCGCTGTGCTTGTCGGTGATTATGTTAGTAAAACTACGCCAACATGTTAGAACTTCTTACAAGTTACTTTACTTGTCACAAGTTGTAACCTGTCATATCACACGACCTTTTCAGGTTAGGGACGGAACGGTGAATACAGATTCCATGATGTGCCCAGGATACTACATCTCTGTAACTTGTCACTACAACAGATAGATCTCGTGGTTTCTATATACGGACAGCAAGCGAGAGAGGAGCCAGGGAGACATGCAAATACACAATTATATTCATCAATCAACCGCATCGCCGCCAACACGCTCCGTCGCTTATCTTTTCCATAGGCGTACCCTACCGTACCCTAGACGCTTGCGCGTACCGCCCTGCTGCCCCCTGTGTGTTGCTTCATTCGCAGCCCCTTGTGAAGATGGGGATCGACACGGTGGCCAGCTTCTCGAGCTATGGGCCTCTGCAAGACGGCCGCATCAAGCCCGACATCGTGGCGCCCGGGGCACCCGTGCGGTCGGCCTTCGCGGCAGCTGCCTCGTCCTCAGGAAGCAACAACAACGTTACCCGTAAGCACTACTACGGAAAGGAACTCTATAACAACGAACACGAACAAGAAGGCAGCAGCTGCATCCATGTAAAACTTATTTGACTCGTTTAGCCCGCCAGCTGCCGCGGCCGCCCCATCTTGGCTTTGCTTTTGATGTGTTGTATGGGCGCACGGCTTCATCTCCCTGCATAATCTGTTACTGAAAACGTTTTCTCCTTTGCCGTACATCCGTACGTGTGTGTGCACACCCGCAGGGCAGACGTGTTCGGGGGCTATGCAGTACTTGTCCGGAACGTCCATGGCGACACCGCTGGTGGGCCCGGCATCAGATATCTGGGGGAGATGCAGCACATGCTGTGCGGTGGTTGTGGTGGTGGATAAGAAGAGTTGTTGGTGATGATGGATGGGTGGATGGGTGGATGGGTGGATGGGTGGATGGGTGGATGGGTGGATGGGTGGATAGATAGATACAGCTGGATGGCCGTCGATTCCATATCGCACAGGTCCGCCCGAACATCTTATTGAACCCCGCTGCTGGGGCCTTTCTTAGAGCTATCTAGACAGCGGCCCTTCAACGAAAGGGGGTTGCCAGGCAGCAAGCCGGGCCCATACATCCAGCCATGCATACATGCGCACGTTCCGTACTCGGACGGATGGTTACCGACCTGCACACCAAGAAAAGATCGACCTACAAGGGAGTCCCAAATGACCCAAATGACTCAAATGGATGCACGTGTACGTACTAAGCAAGGGATTTGGATAGCTCGGTTAGCCCGAATTGGGTTTGACGCGAACCGAAAAATATAAAACAACAATAGTTTTCTTGTGCGTTTTTAGATATGTATGTATGTATGTATGTATTGGGGACCGCCTTCGGCTGGCTCTTTGGTATGGGCCCCTCACGGCTCGTATGGGCCCCTAGGCTACTACACCTTTGGGGGGTAACGCAACCCCAGGAGGTGTATAACACACACATGCACACGCACACGCACACACACACACACACACACACACTAAGGACGGTTTTGCCTGGTTCCCCCATGGTGTGTTTGCAATTCCACTACAGGCCTCCGGGCATATAGCCCTGATGCGCCAATACTTCAGGTAAGCTCGCCTGAATGACACGAACGAGACCATCTGATGGGACGACTGCGGCGATGTGCCCGTGTCCCCTGCGCACGTCGGGGGGGGGGGGGGGGTGGCCTTGTTAGGGTGGCCTTGTTAGGGTGGCCTTGTTAGGGTGGTCTTGTTATGGCTCCCTAAGGAACGTGCGCAGGTCACCTTGTGGTCACATGGGTTGGGGCCGCACGCAGAACGTTGGTGTGGTGTTCCTGATGACTTATTAGAGCGGTAGCTACGCACGCAGCCGCCATCCGGTGTGATGCGTTGGAATACCAAAATCCAAAAATTGGGGAAAGGACTGCAGCCAGTAGCATGCGTGCGTATGTGTGTATGTGTGTGTGTGTGTTACATGGGGGTCGTGGGGGTGCGTACCCCCTACCTACAAACCGTCCAATACGCGCTGAGGGGTCAGGGGCAGCTGGATCGCCTAATCAAGCACCATCCGACTTCGCATGTAGATAGAGGCGGAGAGAGAAAGAGAGAGGCGCGTTGCGCGCGGAGCATGTTTACGGTAGGCATGTCCACCATGACGGGTAGGAAAACACCTGGGGGGGGTAAACCGATCCCCCGCGCCCCACATGACGGCCGTGTCTGGTGAGCTGTGTGCCGCAGGTACTTGGCTAGGTTGCGATTCGCACATGTTGTATCAGGCCGCATGTAGACGCGTACTTCCTAATCTCTAAGTGGCCTCCTGGGGGCCCGCTTCCGTCTGCCTTTCCGGGCGGTTCTGCGCGTCTGCCGCCAGGGATGGGTTTTATCCGCAAGGAGACAAGACCTCTGTGGAATCCACCGCCTTCGAGCCGTCGGGCATGCTCCTCAAGGTCAGTCTTAAAGTGTCCTGCAGATGATTATGTACGAAAGTTACATATTTGTCGAAGTCAGCGAGCAGTGATCAAGGTAGTAGGAATACAGGAGGCGGCAGCAGCAGCAGCAGCGGCAGGCGAAAACAGGTCAAAACCAATAAAACCGGTGCCTGCACGGCCGGTCGGTAACCATGATTAGCCGTGCCTCAGGTGTTATCCAAGATCTCAGCTGAAGCCCGCTGGCTGCTGCTGGTAATGTAGCTCGGAAACCATCCGGCGGTGCGGTCACTGTCACTTTCGTGAATGCCGCCAGCAGCGATCTCTTAGGTATCTGGCTCTTGCTGGTCGAGCCTGCAAATCATGCATGCTTTCATGCAGTTCATAATACGGCTCATTTCCTTTTCATTCTTCTGCCGCGTGTCGCCCCAGGCCGCGGCCATCGTCGGGGCCACATCGCTCCAGGTGCGCGTGATCGGGGCCCTGTACATGTGTGTGTGTGCGTGTGTATGTATGTGTGTAAAGGCGGCTCGCACAGTTCCTTTGGCCGAAAGGACCGGAGCCGTAGCCATGCACGCGGTCCACGTGAAACACAACTCCAGGTGCACACGCCGCACACACCCGCGCACACCGCACATGCATACACTAGGCAGGCGGCTGGCAGAAGTTAAGGCCTGACTTCTGCTCCCAGTCGATCCAGTCGACCCGGGTTCAAATCCGCCTGCCAGCTCCTCGGGTGATTGAGGAGTGATGAAATGGGAGGTGGCCCCCCATCATATGGACGGTGTAGGACGTGATAATATCAACTTGCGAGCTGACCAGGAACTAAGTTGATGCGCCGTTGATCCGCTAGATTTGGTTTGATGCTGGTGGTGAGTTGCCGAACCCAACGAATACATTCTGAAGTCGGATGGGGTGACGGATTAGGGTGCCCCTCTAGCAGGGGAGAGCAGGGACTGCCCCGGGAAAGGGGGCCGCTGGCGAAGTTAACCACCCTGTAACAACATACATACACGTTTGCTGGGTCGCCCCATCAAGTGCTACTACCAAAGAAGCCGACTCTCCATAACGTATGCGTGTATGCATGCCCGCATCTGAAGGTTTTCGCATGGCTCGTATCCCGTGCAACTTACCCTACAACTACACAACGGCAGGCCATATATGGCCACATATCGCACGTAAATCTACGTACTGCTGCCGCCTAGATGTGTCGGCAGCTACCGTCAGACGCCTTGTGTCTAGGTGCGCAGCTACCAAGCTCTCGGAACTCCAGCCAGTTTCACTCATCTCTGTAGCATTAGCAACGGCCGGCGACGACCTACCTGCTCTGCATCCCTGGCCCTGACTGACTTCCGCCGCTCCTAAGCCGCTTGGGGACGTCATCTATGATATGTTCACCCGTATATGCTCCACCGCTCCCCTCCCACCACTCCCACACCCTTCTCCCCCTCAGGGCGGCATGGCAGCGCAGTCGGGAGGCAGCATGGGAGCAGCACCGGACGGGTATCAGGTGGGGCGAGGCATACATGTGCGTTTTCCATGTTATCTGTCTGTCTGTCTGTCTGTCGTGGAGCGGATGCCATTTGAGGTATGTGTTGGCGTGTATGGGTGCGAGGCTTCCCCAACCCCGTATGCTTGCGTTACGTTCTGCTGGCTGCCTCTGCTCCGCTCTTGCATGCAGGGCTGGGGCCGGATGAACCTGGCAGGAGCCCTTCCACTGCCGGGGCTCAGCAGCCAGGACTTTCGCACGCAAGTGGCTGACCTGGGGACCGTTGAGGACGGCGAGGCTGTACACCTGGCCGGGATCCGGGCCACAGGGACCGGGTACGTTTGCCAGTATTCGGGGTTTTAGGGGCTTAGGGGTTTATATACAGGGGGCCCGTTACAGAGCAAAATCGACCCCAGCTCCCGACTCCCTTAACACACGCCAGGCTGCGACCAGCGTACTTACGTCATCACCACCACCACCACTATCGTCATCACCACCACCACCACCACTACCATCATCACTGCCATCATCACCACCACCATCATTAAGGAAAGCAGAAGGTTAACCGACCACATGTGAACGATGGCAAATACCAAAGGATGTCGGCGGAGCAGCAGCAGCAGCACCAGCAGCACCAGCAGCACCAGCAGAGGGAGCTACTACGCGTTGTTCCGGGCACAACACAGTTATGTGCATCCGAATTCGAAAGTTGTGTGTGCTTGCAACAGTACTGTGCACGGTACCCCTTCGCCTGCCCTCGTTCACAGCCCGATCCAGGCAGCCCTGGTGTGGCACGACTTCCCTGGAGCGTTGCAAGCCACGACGGCCCTGGTTAACGACCTGGACCTCAAGTTCTCGGTTAACGGCGGCACGCTGACAAACACACGCGAAGGTGAGAAAGAGGTACACACAGCACACAGGTCAAAACTGCCCTACTGGTAGTATGTGGGTATGTGGGTATGTGGGTATGTGGGTATGTGGGTATGTGGGTATGTGGGTATGTGGGTATGTGGGTATGTGGGTATGTGGGTATGTGGGCAGTAATCCGCTCCCGGAGTTCCACACCCGGCAGCAGCAACCCCATACAGGCCTCTCTTCGCCCACCTTTCAAAAGAAGCCTCCAAACAGGCGGACCCCACCTTACCTCGACTGCGATGACTCTCCCGTCCCGTCCGCGCACCGCCGCAAACCCCCACGGACCCCACCCCCACCAGACCACGTCAACAACGTGGAGAGAGCGGAGCTCCGGAACCTAAAACCCGGTGACAACATCACCTTCGTCGTACAGGGCGCTAGGATCGTGCATCGGCTGCTATCGTCCCCTGGCGGCGGCGGAGGGGGAGGGGGAGGAGGGGACAGCCATCTACCCCAGCGCTGGGCTCTGGCGGTGGTGGGCAACTTTCGCGGCGTTCTACAAACGCAGCTCAATCCGGTGTACAGGCGCCCGCAGAGGCTGCCGGTACGTACGTACGTGGTGATGCAGTGCGTGGTGTTGCCGCACGCGGTCAACGTTTTCATTGCCCATACTCGGTCGTACTTTTTCACCGTACATGCTAGCGGCTTTCATCTATGTAAAATTATAGAGAGAGAGAGAGCTAGAGGTACAAAACTCGAAAGCAACTTGGACTAAATGAATTTTGTTGTTTACAGTTGAATCCCGTAAAAAGGGTGACGAGCACAGTTTTACGTGCATAAGTAGGATGTCAGGATGTGTGCATGTGTGCGTGTATGAGATCAAAAGCTGCAACTGTCCAACCACTAAATGTGTGCCGGCGGGGGGGAGGAGAGACGACAGTCCCGGAAGTTCAACCTGAATCGTTGGCGGGGGGGGAAGAAATGCATGGGTCGCGGGTGATGGCCACGATGGCAACTACCGTGTCCCTGTTCGTGCAGGTGTTCGCTTTGGAGGGTGCGGCGGCGGCGGCGGGGTCCACCGCCATGTTGCTGGTGTCCTGCCTGGCGGGCGGGGGTTGTCTCGCGCTGCAGGGAACGCAGGTCGCCGTCGTTGTCGTCACCGCGGCTACTGAGCCAAGCCCCGCTGCCTACACCTTTGAGTTCGTGGAGGAGAAAGGTAGGGGCGGCGATCGGCCCGAGCAACTCGCTAGCGCCCTTCCAGGGCAATAACTGGGTGCACTTCAGTGCCAGGCCAGGCGAAGGCGTCCAAGCTTGGATGGTTTCGTTATTTTCTCAAAGAACAGGAAGAAGAGGAAGCAGAGGGGAAAACACATTAATTAAATCTGGATGGTCGTGCGATTGCATTGATGATGCAGCGAAAGCCAGCGCTTTCTCGTACTCGGAAGAAGCTTACGACCTGACCAAGACTAACCGATACCGTTGGCGGTTGTATACCTGAGAAAAACACTCTCGCAACCTAGACAAGGCTTGGACCGGACTCTCAATCCACTGATCCCCAGCCGCAGCGACTTTCCCCCTTAAACGCTGAGTCCATGAAGTCTGGTGCTATTAAAAGGCGGGAATACTTGGGAAGCGACGCGAAGGTTAATGGATAGCAAGGGGACACACATGTACACTCACTCCACGGTTGGGTACTGCCGTACTGCCGTATTGCCGTACTGGATGCGGTCGCAGATAACGCAACGGGAGGATTTTTCTACGTTATCCGGGACGGAGTCGGCAACTGCATCACCGCCACACGGGAGTCGGCCGTCCTCGTCCTCCCCTGCAATGGCGACAGCGACGAACAGCGACTGGCGGTCTTCGGAAATCCGTACCTTGACCAGTGCGTGTTGTCCTGCATGTTCGGTAACAATAACATTAGCATCAATCTTAGCTCAGTTTTGGATTTGGATCTTAGTTACCGTACCTTCTAATACACCTGACTGTCGTGCGTACCTACACCTCCCCAGATTATTGCCTTGTCGTTTTGCCTCCCGCCGCTCGTCCCTAAGCTTGCTTCCCAGGCTTTTTGCACAGATGTTTGTAAACGGTCTAAATGAGTAGCTATGGGAGGGAGGCGATGCATGATGGGTCGTTGCATGCATTACCTGGGAGTCCTGAAGCAGCTCTGTTGGCGAGTAACGAAATGTAAGGCGCGATCAACAACTTACTCCATGTTCTGCGCCACCTTCTGCGTGTGTGTCCTTCACAGGCCGCCGCTGACACACCAACTGGTTCCGAAACCATTCCTGGGAGAAAGCAACGGCGACCGGCTATGTCTCAGTCAGCAACAGGAATCGACACTACTTGGAAATTCCAGCAGCAGCTCCTCCATCATTGGGCTCGCGCGCTGTGACTACGACGACCCAAGCCAGGCCTTTTTCATTATAAAAGGGGCAGACGCGCACACCATTAACGCGCCGCATCCCGCGGCGCCATCGCCACCCCCACCGCCGCCGCCGCCACCCTCACCCTCACCCTCACCCTCGATCTCACAGCCCCGTGCGCCGACGCCTTCCTCCCCAGAAGTTACTACCCTGCTACCGCCCCCTGGTAGACCTCCACAACGGCCACAAGGACCGCTACCGCCCAAGCTACCCAGCCCGCTGCCGCTGCCGCTGCCACTGTCACTGCCGCCTCCACATCCACCCCCCTCAAACGCTCCGGGACAGCCGATCCCGTCAGGACCACCACCAGCACCACCAACACCACCAACGCCACCAACGCCACCAACACCACCAACGTCACTAACGTCACCAACGTCACCAACGTCACCATCGTCACCATCGTCACCAACGTCACCATCGTCATTTCCCCAGCCAGCATCACCCTTTCCATCTTTCCCACTACCACCACCACAGCCTCCGCTGCCATCACCACCACCACCACCACCACAGCCTCAAACACCCCAACCACCGCCGCAGCCTTCGCGGCCATCACCACCGCCAGTAAATCCACCCAAGCCGCAGGCACCGCAGCCACCATCTCCATGGCCACCGCCCTCGCCATTGCCACCAACTTTGCCCACCCCACCTAGCCACCAGCCCAAACCGATCTTCCCAACAAGCCCACTACTAATAACGCAACCAGGTCCTCCTCATCAATTGCCCAGCCCCAGTGGTGGCGCCCTGATGGGCCCGCCTCAACTGCCTGGGCCCCTAACTCCGCCTAGGAGCCCTGAAGAACAACACAACGATTTGAAACCGCCCAGCTGGGGGCCATCACATCCCCAAGGAATGCCCAGCAGCCCCTCCCCTACCACGTTACAACCATCAGTCCCGGATTCAAGCCCTCCACAACCAGCATCGCAACTACAACCCCTGAGCCCACCAACACCCATCACACCAAACCCCCAGCCGGGACGCAACTCACCCCCAACAACGTCACCCCCAATGAGCCCTGAGCCTCAGGGCGAGTCACAGCCTCCCGAGCCGAGCTCGAACCCGCGACCTCCACTCCTGCCCCAACCACGAGGGGTAATGCCACCGTCAGCACCTCCTCTTACTGTTGCTGCGACACCTTCAGGACATTCAGGTGACAGCAGTGGTAATAACAGTAGCAGTAGCAGTAGCGTTTCACAGCCGCCAGCACCGCCTCTACAGTCGGCCAACAGCAGCCCTGCAGCCGCCACCTCCCCAACAGGAGCCACGGGTACACCAAGCTCGCCTGGTCCCAGGACTTCAGACTCTAGCAACGGCAGTAGCAGCAACAGCACTCCAAGCGGCATCGTGAATTCTACACAGCCCGTTTCCGTAACGACTTCAGTGGGCTCCGAAACCAGCACCGACAGTAGAAGCGGCAGTGGTAGCGGCAACAACAGTCATGTGAGCGGCATGCAACAGCAGCAGCCGCAGCCGGTACCATCGATCCTGTGGCAGGATCAATTCAGGGTTCCGGCAGTAGCCGCAGCAGCATCGTCGTCATCCTCAGTGGGCCGCATTGAGAAGCCTGTGGCCATGGCTGGCATCGTGTTGGGCGGCGTGGCGGCTGCAGCAGCCGTCTTTGCCGTCGTGTCGGTGACCAGGTGGTGGACCCAGAGACGTACTCGCTACCTGCAAGTGACTCCCGCATGAATAGCTACCCCCGGTGAACAATTACGTGCGTACGTATCTATCTATCTACTCTCGGGGAAAGGGCTCCGATATTATTGAGCGCCAAATAATTGTTTACTTTGTGTTTGAATGTGTGTGTGTGTGTGTGTTTGAATGTGTGTGTGTGTGTGTGTGTGCGTGTGCTGAGGTGAAGGTGAAGGTGAGAGGGAGAGAGGGGAAGAGAGAGAGGGATAGAGAGAAAGCTGTTGAGAGAGATAGCAGAAGGGGGCAGAGAGAGGGAGAGAGAGGGAGAGAGAGGGAGAGAGAGGGAGAGCCTCCGTAATATTGGTGTTGCGCATAGGCGCATCACAAGATCGGCAGGGAATTTGCATGTACAGTTGCCATGCCATGTCATGGGCGGCCCTAACACGCTGACAGTTCCGTTCTGTTCCGTATTCTCTAGCACTGTGTACGGGCTGCGGAGCTTCAATAAAACAGAGACTTCGCTCCTTCGTGGTGCGATTGCGCACCTATCTCCAAGCATTGAGCTGCTGCTGCTGCTACCCAGCAGATGGGTAGCAGCTGCAGGCGGATGGTATGCAGGGCTGGGTGAGACAGACACTAGTTGTCGGGCAAGCTTACGAGTACCTCTTCTGTACGGTACCATTCTCGATTCACGAATGAGGGACAAGGGAGACAAAGCAATATACCAAAAACTGAATTGGCCGCGGTAAGGACCGCTGGGTACTGCCATGTAGGCCTTTACATGCATGTGGGGGCCTTTCCGTACTACTGCCGTACACCGTACATAGAACCTTGCTGTCCGTTCTAGCTGATGGTGGAGGCCGGGAGGGTTCCTTACACACCAATAATAGTTACATCCGGCGCGTGTCTTAGGGTTTTACAGTGCGGTGCAGGAGCTGGGCTTCATTACCTCGAGAAATTTAAAAAATGCTTGACGCGATGGGAAAGTCGGACGCCGATGCGGATGGTGGTGTAGACGAGAATGAACATTGAGCATATGTAGCATTTTACTGGCGTTTGGTATGTTTGTTTGTGTAGAGTATCCTGGAGGGCACATCATCATCATGGGAATTGCACCCGCCGATCGGTGTACTTTTCTGAAGTCGTGATATATAACATTATGTATGCTAGCAGGGTAATGTACATAATAGCAGTAGTATACAGGCAAAGGCGCATGCTGGGAGGAAAATAGTGTGTGTTAGAAGCGTGTTAAGCAGATAGAAGTGCGGGTTGAACCTGGCAGGGCGGGTACTTAACAAACGAAATAATGAAGAATTTTGAAGTTTCGAGGAGGTGATATTTGTCGGGGAGTGCGTGCTTACAGCGTGCGCAAGAAAGTGCTTACGGTGTATATACATACAGACATATTGGTGTGAAACAGGAAAATGGCCAAGCTGCAGGAATTATTGTTAGTGACGATGGTGGAGCAGACAGACCCAGTCAGATGCGGTCTTTACTGGAGAAGTCTATATATACCGTGAATGGTGCATGCATAAGTGCATGTGTGTATGTATGTTTGTACGTACGTATGTATGTATGTGAGAGGTGTAAGAGACAGAAGCACGAGACGTGTTGCTTGGACATGGGAATTCCCCCGGCTCGTATTATTGCCGTACACGGCCGAACAGCAAGCATATTGCCACGACACACATGGCCATGTAAAAACACGCGCATAGCGTCACAAGTAATTGTACGTCATAAATCGGCTCATAATTGTACGGTTATGCTATCTGACCTCTTTGCATATGTGTCGCATGCATCACCCCGACCACACACAGCCCTATCGGGCAGGTTCCATAAACTGCCGGTTCGGCATAGTTTGGAGCAAGCTTCGGTTCGTTCAGGCGCCTGGTATTTTTTTCAGAGCAAAATCAATAATCAAGACAGCCAGAGCCAGCACCCAGCCACCACCCTCCCGCCCTCGCCAGCATGCAGGCCCTTGATGGCCGTAGCCGGGATCACCGTGTGCGGCCCCGCCGCCGTCCCAGATTGGAGTGCTGGATAGCCCAGCATTCGTATTAATAGTTATTTTTTCCATAACGACGCCCGCCGCCATAGCTTGCCTCTCCGTCGCGCACCAAGCCGTCTGTCCCACACGCAATTGTGCTCCCCGCTAGGCTGGCGGGAGCCTTCATCGTAGTACGACATATGATAATAACAATAATAATATACCAATAATAATGATGATAGCGAGTTATGGTAATGGTCATGGTAATGGTAGAGCAGTCAGGAAGGGAAAAAACCAACATGACGCGACCCCTAACAACCTCGTACGCCACCACCAACTGCGCACACAAATACCCCTCCGCTCCGTTCACGCTGTTCGGGCTTTTTCATTTATTATCAACTCCCTTCTTTCTCCCCCCCCAGGCAGCCGGCGTCCAATAGACAAAAATTATTATCTTGTATTGTGATATTATGCATTATGCATCCGCCAATAGTCAAATAATAAATATATTCCCATCAGCCCCACTTGCATGTTTTCCCAAATATAGAGTATAAAGTGACGGTTCCCCAGCAGGTACAACGATCCCTACATCCCCGGCGCCCACGTCCGCACGACCCCACGCTCATCTCCACGAAGCAGCACGCCTCGCGCTGCATCCCACGCCGCCACACGCGCCAAGGAGCCCGTCTCGCTCCAATCCAGAAGCGGCGAATACCCTAGTGACCCGCGGGTCAGGGCCCAAAGACCCGCTGAGCCATCTGCAGCAGAAGTAACCAGGGACAACCTGTCGTAATAATCTCCTCGGGAGGTCGCCTGTTCGAACCCGCCACCCGACACCGCAGTCGCCGACGACAGCCGCTCGGCTGGAGCAGCAGGAGTCCCGGGGGCTCCGGTAACCGAAGCGGCAGGAGGATGCGTGGAGGTGAAGCCGGCGGTGCCTAGCAGAGGCGACCGTGCTGGTGTTGGTGTTGGTGCTGATGCCGCCGCCAGCAATGTGACCGCCCCCCGGTGGCGGCTCGGCAACAGCTGCAGGCAGCGACCATCCGCCGTCCAGGCGCCGATGCTGCCGTCCAGAGCCCCCGAGTAGATGACGGCGCCGCCAGTGACGTCCTCAACACCGCCACTAACACCGCCAGCAGCAGCAGCGTTGACGGCTGTGGGGTTGAAGCTCTACACGCAAGTTTAGGCGAGGCAGCGGCACCAGGGGTTAGATCTTTTGTTGGGCAGCACGCAGGCATCCAATCCTTGGTTTGGAAATGCGGCATCCCCCCCCCCGGGTGCCCACCACCGCAGCGGCCACTGGAGCGGCCGTTGGTAGGTCCTAGATAGGCGGATCCGTTCAGTGAGGGAGGAATCCAGTGTTTGCCGTACAGTACGGCATACACTCACAGCGTCTACAAGAACATGTTAAAGCGCTGCGCCAGCATATCTCGAGAGGCCTTTTTAGCGACTTCCAGCTCCTTCTCCTCCTCTCCTCCTACTACTACTAGTAATACTACTGCTATATGGTCGCTTCATTTTTTTCAAGTCAACAAGTACGATGCACCACCTGCAGTGGAGGCAGTGCGGGGCAGTACCCCGGACGGCGCCGCGACCCCCCCCCCACTGGTGACCTTTCCTTAGCCCACACACGTCCCTCATCTCGTTCCCGCTGCTGCTGAGGGCTCCTGACACAACCCGCGTCGGTTTGTACGACGGGTGCAGCTCCCTGTAGTTGAGGGAGACACAGCCTCATCATACGGCACACGTCATCGGCCAATCATGCCGTACTGTACTTCGAGTCGCGCCACAGGCCCGGCGCCCCAGACTAAAGTTACACGTACCTTATGATGGTGATGCACGTGCAGTGCAGTGACGGCGGCGCCGTGCCCCGTCAGGACTGCCGTCGGTGTACGGCAGTGGCGGACGCTGCGCCATGGACACGACGACGTTGAGCAACAGCAGCAGCAGGAGGATGAGGACGAGGACGGGGCAGCAGAGCAGCAGGCTGAGAAACAGGAGGGGGGTACGGCACCCTTCGCAAACCCGCCGGCGGCGGTCCCTCGGCCGCCGGCTCTCTCAGCGCCGCCGCCGCCGCCGTTGCTGCTGCTGCCGCCGTCGCCGCCGCCGCCGCCGCTGCTCCCAATACCGCCGCCACTGCCGCTGCCGCCGCCTCGGCAACCCTCCGAATGTACAGGTGAACCCCCTCCACCGCCGCCGCCTCGACCTCCGCTTGTAGAAATTGGACCTGCCGAGATGCTATTAGTCGTATTTGTGGTGGTTGTGGTGGTTGTGGTCAACCATGTGGAACCCAAGCGGCGGCTCCGACCTCCCCCCAAACCGAATCCTGGGGAACAGAGTCGGCCGCCGTCGCCACCACCGCCGTCAGCATCATCATCATCATCATCATCATCATCATCATCAACCTCACAATCGTCATCGCCGCAATCATCGTCGTCATCGTCGTCAACGTAAACCACGTCAGTCGCGAGTGAGCTCGCGGCGCAGGGCACGACGGCGCATCCGCCGCCGCCGCCGCTACGGCTTGCTGCCGCATCCAGCGTTGGCGCCGCCGCCAGCTGTGGACTCCAAATCCGTACGGTCCAGTCGGTGCCCCCAGTAACCAGGTACGGCGGCGGTGACGGTGACGTCCACGGGTCACCCGCGGGGGGAGGAGGGGGATTCGCTGGGGTAGCCGACGCGGCGTGGGTACGTGTGGCGGAGGAAGTCCCGTCCCGCTCCCCGCCGGCAGTTCCTTCGTCGCTGACATCATCGCCATCCGCAGCTGGAGATCCGGCGTCAGCGGCGGCGGCGGCGGAACTGACGACGGCGGCGGCGGCGGAAGAGGATGCAGCGGCGGCGGCGGCGGCGGCGGCGGAGGTGGAATTGCAAGGTGGCAGTAGCCCCAGGGAGGTGACCCAGCCGTTGTGACCGCCGTACACAACCACCGGGGAGGTGGGCTGCACACGGCTCCAGGGGCATAGCCAAACAGATACGGACAGGAAACAGAAACAACAGAAAGATAGGTGTACGACATTGCCTGAAATTAGCTCAGCTGCAGCATTGCTGCGATAACCGACAGGCAGACAGACAGATAGCCGACAACTCGCACGACAACATCAAAATCTCAGAACTCACATTAGCCACCAGGCATAGCTGCGATAACCAAAAATGACCAGCAAACCAGGTGGCGTACGTCCATGCGTTTGTATGCATGTATGTATGTATGTGTATGCATGTATGTAAGTACTGTACCCATGCGCGATACCTTACACTGATAACTAACGGCAACTGACAGCAAGGGAACACCACAGCTGGCACAGCTGGCACGTCCGCGTACGTGACGTAAGCAGCGGCCGTACTGCCGTACAATAAAAACACATCTTCCTACCTTTCTCAAGTCCCACTCCACCGCCGTCCCGTCCCTCCCGCCGGTGTAGAGTCGCAGCCGAATGCTATCCAGAAGTAAAGCAGACACCCCCCCTTGACGGGTGGCAAGGGAAAACACGGGAGCGCAGCGGCCGCCGCCGCCGCCGCCGCTAGAGCCGCCGCCGCTATTTTCGCTGCGGGCCAGCCTTGCGTCCCACAGCCTTGCCCATGACGCCGCACATCCGCTGGCGAGGATGTTGGCTGTGGGACTGAGTACCAAAGCGGTGATGCGGCTGCGGGTGGCTGTTATTGTTGTTGTTGTCGGGTAGTGTAAGGGGGAAGGAGGAGGGGGAAAGGGGAAAGGGACATGGAGAAGAAGGAACTGGTTTGGGGGTGTGTACGACGCGTACGACGTGTACGTAATGGAGGAAGAGGCAGAAAAGTCCAAGGACGGGGACAACAGCGGAGTATGTGTGTGTGCGTATGTGTGTAAGTGTGCATATTCTACCGGAGTTATTAGCAAAGGCCGCCCCGTTCCGAAACCAACTGATGCAAGATTTCCCATCACGTCGACTGCAAACCCCCTCCTCCCCCTCCTCTTCAGTCTTTCGCGCCGCCGTCCCCGCCCCCACACGCACACCTCCCCCTTCCGGACTCCCCCCCCCACATACCCGGCCGCAACTCCCGAACGATGCGACCCGCGCCAACATCAACCAAGCCGAGAACTCGGGAACGCGGCCCGCAGCCGAGGCCGTCACCACCAGTTGCAGCGGCAGTAGCAGCACTCGAGGCGCCCCATGGCGGCGGCGGCAGCGGCGGCAGCGGCGGCAGCGGCGCCACCGACATAGCTGCGGTACAGCCATCCGGCGTAATGTCTAGTCTGTCCGCATAAGCCCCATCTAAATGGCACAGGGGCATCTTGGCGCTGACCTGGAGACCCGTGCCGTACTGCGATGTCGTATCGGGCAGCAGTTTAGCAGGTCGTACGGTGTTCAGCATTACACACATTGGACTTCATAATGAACACACACGCACACACACGGCTATTCCCCACCTCTTTCCCACAAAGACAGACAGACAGATAGACAGACAGACATACACCTATTTCCCCCACACCAATCCTTCCTCTCATCCCCCCCCAGCCACACACCTGCTGGTACGTCAGCACGAAGCAGGACCGCTCCAGGGGGCCCGCCAACACCACCCCGGAGGCGGCCGCCAGCGCCACAATGGGGCCGCCGCTGCCCACCGCCAGTGCGCATGTGGCGGCGGCGGCGGGGCCCTCCTGCGCATAGTCGTACAACAGCATGTGTACGGCAACGTGAACGCGGGTGGTTAGGGCAACGATGCATCCAAAACAGCACGAAACATGGATGATGGATAATTCCGTCTCAATCTATGGGGTTAAATTGTACTTCGTTTGGTACTAAGTTAAATCGTATTTAGATATGTACGACTGACGTAGCAGGCATAAGATACGGCACCCCGAGTCGTACTACGCAGCCCCGATAGAAAACACAGCCTCATGTACTTTTCCGCTTCACCACAACAGCCACAATTCATCCATCCATCCGGACAGACAGACAGACACACAAACACACACGTGCCAAACCTGAGCAGCGGCCGCAACTCACCCCCCCGGTGATTCCTCCCGGGGCTGAAGCCATCCGGCGCCTGTCGTACGGCAGCCCTGTCCTGTGACTCTCTGTGTCGTATCTCCGCTGCTGCTGCTGCTGTGGCGGCGGCGGTGCCTGCTGCTGCTGCTGCTGCTGCCTAGGCCCCGACGGCCCCAATGATCTTCCCTGGGGCTTGCCGCCCAGACTGGTAAACGAAGGCCTACTCGGCGACGCCGCCGCCGCGGCAGCGGCAGCCGCGAGCTGCCGCTCGTACTTGGCGCTGTAGGCCCTACTCGCGCCGCCGCCAGTGGTGCTCCGGAGCCTGCTGCCGCCGCCCCCGCCAACGTACCCGCCACCGCCGCCGGCGGCGACGTTGGCGTTGGGGCTCAGCGGTCCCGGGGAAGTCCCGCTGGCTGGTCGCCGCTTCGCCGAGGGGCTGGCGCTGGAGAATGCCTTGACGCCGGCGACGGAGCTGAAGGGCGCTCGGACGGGCGACGCCGCCACCGCCGCCGCCGCTGCTGGTAACGCCGCCGCCGCCGCCGCCGTCAAGGATGCTGTCCTCACCATGGAGAGTGGGGAGGTGATTCCGGCCAACCCCTCAAACGTGCCGTCTCCAGTACATGCCGCTGCCGCCACCGCGGCTGCTGCTACTGCGGCTGCGAACGGAGGCGTCAATGGAGGAGCTGGCCTACCGACCCGCGGGTCGGCTCCGCCTACGCCACCCATACCTCCACGGCCACCACGCTGCGCGTCAGACAGGCTCCGCGACGGCGAAAGCCCTCCAAGAGCCTCACAGTACGGCTGCTGCTGTAGCGGCGACGGCGGCGGCGGCGACGACTCAAGTAGACCCCCTCGCCGCCGCCGCCGCGGCTGTAGCTGCCCCACAGTCAACCCGTCTTGGCGCCGCTGCGGCGTTGCCACTGTCACCGTCGCCGCCATCGCCGGCGACATGGGCGGCGGCGGCACAATAGCGGCCCAGTCTGCTGCCGCCGACAGCGACCGCGACAACGGCTCGTACGGCGCCGCGGGCAGCGCTGGTCGGTACCCTCCGGCGACGGGCCAATGGTGCTGACGGCTGTACGGCACCGCCATCGCCGCTGCCGTACCTAGCGGCCGGTAATCCCAAGGGCCCGCTGAAAGCGGCTGCACACGGCTCCGCTGATGACGTGGCGGGAAGACGTCATCGCGGGGTGCGCACCGCAGTACGGCCCTCACGTTCAACATGATCTGGGTGTGGAGGTGTTGGTGTTCTTGGTGTTGGAGGTGAGAGGGCGCACCCGGATGGTCGTCTGCAGAGGCGGCGGGGAGCCCGAGGAGGCGGGAAGTAGGGCCCCACCGTAGCGGAGGTAGAGGCAGCGAAGGAGGTGGAGGCGGCGGCAGGGCCAGCTTTGGCTGTACGGAGGCTGACCCTTGGATGCCGTACGCGCGTACGGCGGCTAGCCGAGGTAAGGTGTGTATGTATGTATGTATATGTGTGCGCACCCTGACTGACTGCGTTCAAGGCATATATCCACCGGGGGCCCAGACCGCCCAACTCCCCCCCAATGGGTGTGCAGTGATGTGCTGGGGCCCTCCACCCCCCGCCGCCGTACCCATCCTGATGCTGGTACTGCTGCTGGTACTGCTGGTACTGCTACTGCTGCTGCTGCTCCGCGCCTTCAACAGTTTCCCCCCCTGTCTGGAGACATACCTACACACCCGAACCCCTAGTGTTCCCACTCCCTTCCTTCTCGCTTCCCCCCCACGAGGGCCCCGGCTGCCCTCTTCCCCTGGCCGAGTAGTGGCGGGGACCTTGGCCAGCCGCGATGACAACCCCCTGTAACATGTACCTGCAACCGTAACAGCTCAGATAACCAACAACCGTCAACGGCACGCCGGTCAGCCCCTGTCCCATTTGACAGTTTGCTTCTCTCTGTAAAGCCTCACCTTCCCGTGAGGCCATGCCTGTCAGCTGTCGTACACCCGACGCGGTCACTAACCCAGACAGAAGCTCCCATGCGGCCTCCTCCGCCACCCCCAAGTACGACAGCCAGGTCGCCAGCGAGCTAAGGATGCGTTGGACGCCCTGCACGAGGGGGCCCGGGCCCCCGGTAAACAAACGGGGGAAAGTAGCGACAGGAGGACCTTCTTCCAGGGTACGGAAATGCCGTACATCTTAACTTTCTCTTCACTGCAAACATATCCCCCATCACGCCCCTCCATCTGCCATTCCGCTTTCCCCCCGGGTCCCCATATCAGTCTCGTCCCGCCACGTACCTTGAGGAAAACTCGTTGCCGCCGGAGCGACTCACGAGACATGGGATGTGCCGTACAGCTGCCGCCGCCGCCGCCGCCGCCGCTGGCATGGCCCCCGGTGATCTCCGCTCCGACAGGAACCCCACTCGGCGCCGCCTCGTGAACAGCTCCTCCATTGGCGGCGGCAG